CAGTTGAAGCTCGCATCTGCTACAAGACCATGGTGCTTGCCTACGGAGCTGTGAGGGGAACGGCACCTCCATACCTTCAGGCTCTGATCAGTCCCTACACCCAAACGAGGGCACTGCGTTCATCCACCTCTGGCCTGCTGGCTCCCCTACCTCTGCGGAAGCATTGTTCCCGCTCAGCCCAGTCAAAACTGTTCGCTGCTCTGGCACCCCAATGGTGGAACAAGCTCCCTCACGACGCCAGGACAGCGGAGTCACTCACCACCTTCCGGAGACATTTGAAACCTCACCTCTTTAAGGAATACCTGGGATAGGATAAAGTAATCCTTCTGACAATTCCTTCGACCTCATGGCTTTGTTTTTGCTCTGACATGCACTCACAACTGTGGGACCTTATATAGACACGTGTGTGCCTTTCCAAAACATGTCCAATCAATTGAATTCACCACAGGTGGACTCCATCTCAAGGATGATCAATGGAAACAGGATGAACCTGAGCTAAAGTTCGAGTCTCATAGCAAAGGGTCTGAATACTTATGTAAATAAGGTATTAATTTTTTTATTTTTAACAAATGTGCAAACATTTATAAAAACCTGTTTTCACTTTGTTGTTATGGGGTATTTTGTGTAGATTGCTGAGGAATTATTTTGAATTTAATCCATTTTAGAATAAGGCTGTAATATAACAAAATGTGGAAAAAGTCAAGGGGTCTGAATACTTTCAGAAAGAACTGTACATGCTACACATACCTTATTGTAGGTATCTAAAATAATCATTGTGAAAACAAGAATGGGTGACATTTGATTAGAACCAGGCAGTCAGACTCCGCCTACAAAATGACAACAACACTTTGTCTCCCTACACAGGAGTAACTTTAATCATTTACAGCATATGGCACAAAAAATCTGTTACAAAAACAATGCTGCAATTTAGATGGCATCACAATGTAAACTATTAGAATTTAGACTATAACATTTTCTGAGACATTTCCAAAATGTGAGTTGCATAGAAAGGCATAGTTGCATTTCAAAAGCTGAGCATTTTTTCTAGTTACTATATGAAGTGCTGTTTGCTTTTGTTCATGTAGGTTAATCTCAGTATCAAGATATCTCCTGTCAGATATAAAGTGCATTTATTTTGTCATTTTCCACTGAATTCATATAAGTTCACATACAAAAAATAGTTCACATAATGATTCATTCAAGTTGTGCCAATGTTCACATTTAAAGTGTGTCTATTTGCCAGTTTTTCTCATGAGACAGTCACTGATTAAAGGGGAAGTTCAATATTATACAACTTAAAGGGCACGAACAGTCAACCTGTACACCCGCACATTGACCCAGTACCGGTACCCCCTGTATATAGTCTCGTTATTGTTATGTAATTTATTGTGTTACTTTTTGATATTATTATTTTTGTAAACTTTAGTTTATTTAGCAAATATTTTCTTTACTCTATTTCTTGTATAGCATTGTTGGTTAAGGGCTTGTAAGTAAGCATTCATAATTGCGGCGGAGGGGATGGCTGCCATTTTATGGGCTCTTAACCAACCAAGCTATTTTGTTAGTTTTTTTGCATTGTTTGTAATTTATTTGTTTCAAGCAGATCACCATAGTCCCTGTGCCCAAGAACACTAAGGTAACCAGCCTAAATGACAACTGACCCGTAGCACTCACGTCTGTAGCCATGAAGTGCTTTGAAAGGCTGGTCACGGCTCACATCAACACCATTATCCCAAAAACCCTAGACCCACTCTAATTTGCATACCGTCCCAACAGATCCACAGATGATGCAATCTCTATTGCGCTCCACACTGCCTTTTCACACCTGGACAAAAGGAACACCTATGTGAGAATGCTATTCATTGACTACAGTTCAGCGTTCAACACCATAGTGCCCTCAAAGCTCATCACTAAGCTAAGGACCCTGGGACTAAACACCTCCCTCTACATCTGGATCCTGGACTTCCTGATGGGCAGCCCCCAGGTGGTAAGGGTAGGTAACAACACATCCGCCACGCTGATCCTCAATACGGGGGCCCCTCAGGGGTGCATGCTCAGTCCCCTCCTGTACTCCCTGTTCACTAATGACTGCATGGCCAGGCACGACTCCAACCCCATCATTAGTGGTAGGCCTGATCACCAACCACGATGAGACAGTCTATAGGGAGGAGGTCAGAGACCTGGCCGTTTGGTGCCAGGACGACAACCTCTCCCTCAACGTGATCAAGACAAAGGAGATGATTGTGGACTACAGGAAAAAGAAGAGGACCGAGCACGCCCCCATTCTCATCGACGGGGCTGTAGTGGAGCAGGTTGAGAGCTTCAAATTCCTTGGTGTCCACATTACCAACAAACTAACATGGTCCAAGCACACCAAGACAGTCGTGAAGACTGCACGACACAACCTATTCCCCCTAAGGAGACTGAAAAGATTTGGCATGGGTCCTCAGATCCTCAAAAGGTTCTACAGCTGCACCATCGAGAGCATCCTGACTGGTTGCATCACTGCCTGGTATGGTAACTGCTCGGCCTCCGACCGCAAGGCACTACAGAGGGTAATACGTACAGCCTAGTACATCACTGGGGCCAAGCTTCCTGCCATCCAGGACCTCTATACCAGGCGGTGTCAGAGGAAGGCCCTAAAAATTGTTAAAGACTCGAACCACCCTAGTCATTGACTGTTCTCTCTGCTACCGCACGGCAAGCGGTACCGGAGCGCCAAGTCTAGGTCCAAGAGGCTTCTAAACAGCTTCTACCCCCAAGTCATAAGACTCCTGAACATCTAATCAAATGGCTACAGCAGACTATTTGCATGTGACAAATACAATTTGATTTAATCAGATTGGATGATATTTGGATGAAACCAGATCATAGTAGGATGACAAAAGAATGAAAAATGACTGTTGCTGGTATATCGATAACGTTTGACTATAAAGTTACTGGCTTCCTCCTCTGAATTCAGGAGGCGGGATTACTAAGGCTTTGTGTGACACCATATGAAGCCGGTCATTTTAATACACCAATGGTAATATCTTATTCTCTTACCTAATTCAAATAAGTATCGCCTTGAAGCCATCATCGCAGAAGGTGCGTTCGCAGAAGGGTGTGGTTTACATAGCTAGCTAGCTAGCTAGTTAGTCTACTGGTGACAAAATTTGACTGCAGGGTGTCAGCAAATATAATTCATGTTAGATGATTAGACTACTTTCAGGTTGAGTAACCATCTAACATTATGTTGTACTGAATTTCCCCTTTAACTATGATATTGTATCATATATTTGTTTTGAATCACTGTCCGTCCTCAGTAGTCCCAGCTGTGACTTCGGATATTCTCCATCTTTTGCTCATACTTACTCTTAAAGAATCCACTCTGTGAACAAAGTCCTTGATTTAGTACACCATGAAAACAGATACGCACAGTTCTAATTGTTAACAATTAACAATTGTTAATTGTTACTTTGTTAAAATATAATTATAGTGATGATGTATGGTCTTAAAGACTGTAGATGAAATGCAGCAGTAGCTTAGTCTGGCATAATACACATTCACATGATGCATAACAATTACATAAAGAACCAATAAGAACCAGAAAATGAACCAGTAAGAACCAGGAAATGTACCAGTAAGAACCAGGAATGAACCAGTAAGACGCAATCAATTAACCAGTAAGAACCAGGAAATTAACCAATAAGAACAAGGAAATCAACTAGTTATTATGAACTAGGAAATGTACCTTCCACATGCAGATGACCAGCAAGGTAAGGATGAGGAGGCCTAGTAAGAGACTGGCCATGATGATGGACAGCTCAATGACTGGCTTCAGTTTGTGGCTTTGATGGGCCTCCAGGACAACCTGGAGAACATAGATCCAATTATGTAAGTGATAAACAACAATGCTGTGGATGTTATTCCTATTGTTCCACAAAATGAGTGCCTTTTGATATTTTAAGTAGGAATTATGCACCAATGTTGAATTTAAATTGATATTGAATAAAAAATACTTATATTCAATAAGTGCCCTTTAATATAGACCACATGGAGAATTCAATAAATCAGATTTTTTTATGAGGAAAGACTTGCTAAAGTGGCAAAATTAAGCATTCTGAAATGTCCCTCCGAGCACCCTCTGTGACTTCCAGGCAGATTGTAACCCACTTAACCCCAACATTTCTCCAAATTGTCACCATCATTGTAAATTATTTTGTTGCTTTAACAAAGTCATTTCTGAAGATTATTATTAATTTAATGTGATTAGTGATTCATTTTAAGGTAAAAAACAAACAAACAACCTGTCCCAAATTTCTAGGTCAACCCTGTTACGTGAACTGAACTCTCGTTTTAACATGGTGAAACTATTCCTTTTATAATATTTTTTTTCAAAGGAAATCATAGTGAGCTGAGCTTTTTCTATTGTTTTGGGCCATTTTCTGTTGTTTTGTGGTGGAAAACTGAGCATAACACGTACACCCTGTTACCCATAGATAGACAGGCTAGAAATGTAAAAATATATTAAATGTGGAACACAAGCATCCATTTCCCCTGTCACAAGGGGATTCATGGCTGATTTAAGATGAAAACATCAACCCTGTTTGTTACGGTCAACCCTGTTACTTTATTTGGCACTTAATAGGCACTTACTATAGTCATTTTGTTATTTAACATCTTGAGATGGGAAAACATGTTTTTTTATTAAGTTGAACATGTGCTCTTTATGATAGGATGTTAAAATTAGGTGAAGTCAAGTTACACATTTCAAAAGGCACCAAATTGGTAGAATGACCCAAATACATTGAAGATAACAGGCTATGTACAGGTTTGTAGCAACCCTAGCCTAGAGAAGCTTACAATCTCCCACAAGTGGGTTTACCCTATAGGAGCAGTGGTTAGCAAGTTTGCCTATGCTCTGAGAGACCTGGGTTTGATACCCACAAGGGACCCACAGTTGCCATTTACTCAGTAGATTTGGGGATTCTCATGAAAATATGAAGTGTTTGACTTACCACTGTAATGGGGTCTTCTTGTAAGAACCAAATAAATGGGTCCTTCTTGGGCGATATGACAGCAGTGGTCTCTAACAGCATGACACCATGTCTTCCCTTAGAGAGAGAGATGGGGGTAAATGTCACCTAAATACTTATTAATTTACGTAAAAACCTATACAATTAGTATACACTGCACAGTCCTCACCGGTGAGATGTTTAAAACTCCCGAATTCATTTCGACCTCCATTTCAATTGTGGCATCTTTCCCAATGTCCATGTCTCCAAGCTCACACACCGCGTACAGACACAGAGCATCCTCTTTCATACAGTACTGGACAAAAAGACAACGTCCTCCATCATACAATTGTTCATAGTTTTACTCATCAACGCCCAGTACTGATTTGAAATATGTACACAGTTAAATCCACATTTCTCCCATTGACATGAATGCATGATTTCAACATACTTTTCTGAAACTCAAACATACAGTATCTACAAGTTAGGATTTGTCCAATGGTGTACTGTGTTCTGGTCACAAAGTGGCTTCCAAGCAAAACATTGTAACAAACTTACTTACCATATGTCTTCTACTTCTTTTCGTGAAGAAGAAGAAAAGTTCATTCAAGGGATTGGAGTAGGGCAGATCACACTCATCCTCAATAACACTAGTCCAGTTGCTCACATTGGCCCGATAGGGTGTGCTAGTCCAATTGTTGTCAGTGGTACTGGAAGTATTAGCCGAATAATGGTGAGTGGTGCTGGATCTATTCGTCCAATAGCTGTCAGTGGTAGTTGTCACATTCAACCAAACACTGTCAATGGTACTGGCTCTCTGGCTTCCATACATGTTGCCATGTGTACTGCTGGTCCCATCAGTGGAGTTTCGAACGTAACACCACCCAGAAGATGACTGTGTGTGAGAGACAAAGTAATGTGAACACCAGGATAAGTCAGTTCTATACATACAGTGAGGGAAAAAAGTATTTGATCCCCTGTTGATTTTGTACGTTTGCCCACTGACAAAAGAAATGATCAGTCTATAATTTTAATGGTAGGTTTATTTGAACAGTGAGAGACAGAATAATAACAAAAAAATCCAGAAAGATACATGTCAAAAATGTTATAAATTGATTTGCATCTTAATGAGGGAAATAAGTATTTGACCCACTCTCAATCAGAAAGATTTCTGGCTCCCAGGTCTTTTATACAGGTAACGAGCTGAGATTAGGAGCACACTCTTAAAGGGAGTGCTCCTAATCTCAGCTTGTTACCTGTATAAAAGACACCTGTCCACAGAAGCAATCAATCAATCAGATTCCAAACTCTCCACCATGGCCAAGACCAAAGAGCTCTCCAAGGATGTCAGGGACAAGATTGTAGACCTACACAAGGCTGGAATGGGCTTGTGTAGACCATCGCCAAGCAGCTTGGTGAAAAGGTGACAACAGTTGGTGCGATTATTCGCAAATGGAAGAAACACAAAAGAACTGTCAATCTCCCTCGGCCTGAGGTTCCATGCAAGATCTCACCTCGTGGAGTTGCAACGATCATGAGAACGGTGAGGAATCAGCCCAGAACTACACGGGAGGATCTTGTCAATGATCTCAAGGCAGCTGGGACCATAGTCACCAAGAAAACAATTGGTAACACACTATGCTGTGAAGGACTGAAATCCTGCAGCGCCCGCAAGGTCCCCCTGCTCAAGAAAGCACATATACAGGGCCGTCTGAAGTTTGCCAATGAATATCTGAATGATTCAGAGGAGAACTGGGTGTAAGTGCTGTGGTCAGATGAGACCAAAATGTAGCTCTTTGGCATCAACTCAACTCGCCGTGTTTGGAGGAGGAGGAATGGAGGTGGAAACATTATGCTTTGGGGGTGTTTTTCTGCTAAGGGGACTGGACAACTTCACAGCATCAAAGGGACGATGGACGGGGCCATGTACCGTCAAATCTTGGGTGAGAACCTCCTTCCCTTAGCCAGGGCATTGAAAATGGGTCGTGGATGGGTATTCCAGCATGACAATGACCCAAAACACACAGCCAAGGCAACAATGGAGTGGCTCAAGAAGAAGCACATTAAGGTCCTGGAGTGGCCTAGCCAGTCTCCAGACCTTAATCCCATAGAAAATCTGTGGAGGGAGCTGTAGGTTCGAGTTACCAAACGTCAGCCTCGAAACCTTAATGACTTGGAGAAGATCTGCAAAGAGGAGTGGAACAAAATCCCTCCTGAGATGTGTGCAAACCTGGTGGCCAACTACAAGAAACGTCTGACCTCTGTGATTGCCAACAAGGGTTTTGCCACCAAGTACTAAGTCATGTTTTGCAGAGGGGTCAAATACTTATTTCCCTCATTAAAATGCAAATCAATTTATAACATTTTTGACATGCGTTTTTCTAGATTTTGTTGTTGTTATTCTATCTGTAACTGTTCAAAAAAACCTACCATTAAAATTATAGACTGATCATTTCTTTGTCAGTGGGAAAACGTACAAAATCAGCAGGGGATCAAATACTTTTTTCCCTCACTGTAACAGAGACATGGATCATGTTCATTAGGATAAACCAGGAGTCTTTAACCTTTTTTTGCCCAGGGACCCCCGCCTAGGCAAATTGGCAACACAGCGACCCCCATGATATGTTAGCAAAAAATAAACCTCATGTCTTTTCTTATCATCAGGTGAATGATAATGGCAAGGAGAAGTAATCAACATTTTAATATTCATCGATTTGGTAGATAGTTTTTCATTATTATGAATTCCCCATACAGGGCCGTCCGCTCATTAAGGCAGAATTAGGCTGCTGCCTATGGTGGCAGATTGACTAGGGCGACATTTTCTGAGCTAAACTGGCCAAGATGCACCTCCAACAATGAATAAAACCTCACATATTTCTGTCCAAATCCTATTTATCTCAACTAGTGGCATACAGGCTTTTTAGGCGAGCGCTGATGCCGCCCTGTGATAAGCAGTGCCCACTGTGATAAGCAGGGACTCCAAATATTTATCTTGTCCATTCCCAGTACGCCTCTCCAGGGTGCTGTTGGAGAGTCGGACGGGATGTTTATCTCCCCCCCCCCCCCCCCCCCCCCCAATATTCTGAAATTGCATTTTTTGTCCCCCCCTAGATATATCATTACAATGTGATTTTTAAAAAAGGCAGCGGTGTGCTTTAGGACCATGTGGTCGCGACAAACAGCTGTTTGGAGTGTTCAGATGGCTGGATTTAGGACCACATGGACGCCACAGAGCGGGCTGACAGGCTCATGTGAAGGAAAGGCTTCTGGAAGGCTGGCTGGACAAGCACGGGAGAGTTGAGCCTAGTTCAGTGTGTATGTGTTGCGCTCTTTCACCGAGTTGTAAAAGCAAGCAGAGCAGAAACTGGCTACTCTTTAGTTGACTGATGTAGCTGGCAAGACAACAGCTGTTTAACTTTTTACAGTGCAATGTGAGTTTGTTTTTGTCAGTATGGCAATGTAATGTTATTGATCTGTCAGTTTCCCTAGCTAATACCCTACTTTTCACACTGACACAGTAATAAACAGCTCTAATGTTACAGGCTTCACTGTCTTGGTGCACAGTTGAGGTCTGCGCAAGACCAATTTCTTCATCCTGCTCCTTCCTGCACCGGCAGCTTTTCATACCACACCCTTTCTGCACCAGCTGGCTTCCTGTCCGACTCCCACCCGCTTCCGCAAGAACTGGTTCCAAACCCAACCGCAGTTCCGTAATGTTATTTTAGGCTTATGTGACACAGCTCACTTGCCAGTCATGGTCCCAGCAATTTTGCGCCCTATAGGCAATATGAAACGCACAAAAATAACATTACCTGAGATTCTCACATGGCCCTTATATCTTTATTACTGTGCTAGATCAGCCAATATGGTAGATGTAGTTTGAAGAGAGCAGAGTTTGAGAGACTTTCACATTTTCTTGATCTATTTTTATAGCCTACCTTTTAGGAGTGGGAAGATTTTCAGAGAAATATGGGTGATCAATATTTAGGACTTTCTAGGCAATGTAGTAAACTATAGCCTAATCATAGGCCTATTTAGGAAGTACATTTCCTTGGAACGATAACTGCCCCGTGTTTCTCCGCCCACGCATAGGCTATAGCCTACCTGGCTACTTAACTTGAAGCAACAAGAATGATGACAGCAACACTTGCTACGTTTTGCATAGGCCTATAGGATATAGCCTACCTTTTAGCAGGACGATTTGCAGGCAGAGACAAATAAATGGGTAATAAATACTTATTGAAAATGAAAAGGCCGCTCACCATTGTAGCCTAAATGATGTGCGCATTGTGCCTTTTTCCTTTTCAATGATGATACAGAATTTGTATTGAAAGTTAACTGCCACGTGATTCTCCACCCATGTACTGTAGGCAGCCTACTCTATTTCAATGAGACCACACATACTAGGCACACTTGAACGCTCATGCCCAACTAGGAGAGGTAGGCTACTGAAGTTGAAGCGGCTAATGCTGTGTGTGAATAATGCGAAAAAGATTTGCTTTTAATACAATAGGTAGGATAACGCATACAAAGCAGAAAGAGGACTGTTTCCAAATAATATGTGGGACAACAAAAATACACTGAACTAAAATATGAACACAACATGTAAAGTTTTGGTCCCATGTTTCATGGGCTGAAATAAAAAATAAATGTTTCATATGCACAAAAAGCTTATTTCTCTCAAATGTTGTGCACAAATGTGTTTACATCCCTGTTAGTGAGCATTTATCCTTTTCCAAGATAATCCATCCACCGGACAGTTGTGGCATATCAAGAAGCTGATTAAACATTACACTGAGGAGTATTTCTGTCTGGAATAAAGCCTTTTTGTGGGGGAAAACTAATTCTGATTGGCTGGGCCTGACTCCCCAGTGCCCTCCAAGGCCCACCCATGCCTGCACCCCTGCCCAGTCGTTTGAAATCCATAGATCAGGGCCTAATGAATTTATGTCAATTGACTGATATCCTTATATGAACTGTAACTCAGTAAAATAGTTGAAATTGTTGCATGTGCGTTTATCTTTTTGTTCAGTATATTTCCATCCCAAAGTCATCTGTCTGACCGCCCGCTCCCGCCCACAGACAGTGCCTCAATGATCTCTATTTGGACCCGCAGGTCCCGCAGGCATCCCATGGGAATGCAGCCCTCTAGTACTCCTGAGTGGCGCAGTGGTCTAAGGCACTGCATCGCAGTGCTAACTGTGCCACTAGAGATCCTGGTTCGAATCCAGGCTCTGTCGCAGCCGGCCGCGACTGGGAGACTCATGGGCGGCGCACAATTGGTCCAGGGTAGGGGAGGGAATGGCCGGC